CTTCGCGGTGACAACAGCAACGCTTTGTTACAACAACAACAACAACAACAACAACAACAACAACAACAACAACAACAATTACTAGCACGTGGGGACACTCCGTTCTCACCAGCGCCAGGGTTTTCATAGGAGGCGGGCAATACCCCCACTTTGTGGGGGGGCCGGTTCAAGCTCTACCAAATTTCCAAACGACTCTTCGCCACCACCCACACCCAGCTTCCCGCCCTATGACGTTCGGACACTTCACTTCGTGGCATGCGGACGACCGTGGCTACTATGCAGGGCCCCGCGGCCGACGACGACGGCGTGCGCGCGCGAAGAAAAAACGAATGTGTCCCGCATGGTATTATTTGACAGGGATGATGGCCCTGGCAGGTGCGCAACCGTTGTTGCAGAAGTTCGAAAAAGTTGCTCGCAAAAGCCCGTTTGACAGAAATGTTTAAAAAGTGTTGGGTTTCCTACGAATCCGCAAGAGCGCGCGGGATGAGATTTTGACATTTTTTTTGAAAAACCATTGGTTTTTTGATGTTTTTATGTTAAAATCGCTACGAACACTAAGGTTTTGGAAGGATTTCGTCTTGCGCGCGCGAATGTCCACTTTACCTTATTTTTTGCAAGGGATTCTTGAAATTTGATTATATTAGAACAAGAAATGTCATTTTCTATTGTTTTTTGCAAGGGAAAGCGGATTACAACAAAACAACCGGATCCTGTACACACCCTCTTTTCTGAGGCTTCCTCACGAAAATGATGAAAATGTAGCTGCGGCCTAGGCGGCGCAGGGGGGGCGCGCACCAGGGGGCCCAACAATAATTATTCTTTAGAATAAATAATGTTCAACAACAACAACAGCAAACAAACAAACAACAACAACAACAACAACAACAACAACAACAACAACAACACCAACAACAACAACGCAAGGACACTCTCTCAGGCCACCCCGGCGGGGCCCGTGGGTGTGTCCTCGCCCCCGGGGCGAGCGCACTGCCCCAGGCCACACGTTGCAGTTGTTGCCCCGGGGGGGGGGGGGGGAGCAACGCGCAACACCTCTGTCATACGCTAACGAAGATCTATATGTGTTTCCGAATCTCCATTGGCTCCCTTACTGTTCCCCACGCACTCCTGTGGCCGAGAACCGACCACGCGCCAGCGAGGCCAGCTCCTCCTCCTCATAGGACTCCTATGGAATCGCGCAGGGCCCTGTAAGGATCCTATGGGATCCCCATAGGATTCCTATGGAATCGTGCCGGACCCTGTAAGGATCCTATAGGATCCTTCTAGGGTTCCTATGGAATCGTGCAGGACCGTGTAAGGGTCCTATAAGATCCCTCCAGGGTTCCTATGGAATCGTGCAAGACCCTGTAAGGAACCTATGGGATCCCTCTAGGGTTCCACTAGAATCGTGCAGGGCCCTGTAATGATCCTATAGGATCCCTATAAGGTTCCGATGGAATCGTGCAAGACCCTGTAAGGATCCTACAGGATCCCTCTACGGTTCCTATGGAATCGTGCAAGACCCTGTAAGGATCCTATAGGATCCCTCTAGGGTTCTTATGGAATCGTGCAAGACCCTGTAAGGATCCTATGGGATCCCTCTAGGGTTCCTATGGAATCGCGCAGGACCCTGTAAGGATCCTATAGGTTCCTCCTCTATAGGACTCCTATGGAATCGTGCAGGACCCTGTAAGGTTCCTATAGGACCCTTCTAGGGGTCCTATGGAATCGTGCAGGACCCTGTAAGGATCCTACGGGATCCCTATAGGATTCCTATGGAGCCGTGCAGGACCCTGTAAAGATCCCATAGGATCCCTATAGGTTTCCTATGGTATCGTGCAGGCCCCTGTAAGGATCCTATAGGATTCCTGGGGGGTTCCGATGGAATCCTGCAGGGCCCTGTGAGGATCCTATAGGACCCTTATGAAGGTTCCGATGGAATCCTGTAGGACCCTGTAAGGATCCGATGGGATCCCTATAAGGTTCCTATAGAATCGTGCAGGACCCTGTAAGGATCCTATAGGATCCCTCCAGGGTTCCTATGGAATCGTGCAGGACCCTGTAAGGATCCTAGAGGACCCCATATAGGCTTCCCATAGAATCGTGCAGGACCGGCCCTGTAAGGATCCTATATGATCCCTATAAGGTTCCGATGGGAACCTGTTGGGCCCTGTCAGGATCCTAGAGGATCCCTCTAGGGTTCGGATGGAATCGTGCAGGACCCTGTAAGGATCCTATGGAATCCCTCTAGGGTTCCTATGGAAACGTGCAGGACTCTGTAAGGACCCTATGGGATCCCTCTGAGGTTCCGATGGAATCGTGCAAGACCCTGTAAGGATCCTATAGGTTCCTCCTTATAGTACTCCGATGGAATCATGCAGGACCTGTAAGGATCCTATAGGATTCCTATAGGATGCCTATGGAATCGTGCAGGGCCCTGCACGGACCCTATAGGATCCCTCTAGGATTCTTATGGAACCGTGCAGGACCCTGTAAGGATCCTATAGGATCCCTCTAGGGTTCCTATAGAATCGTGCAGGACCCTGTAAGGATCCTATAGGATCCCTATAGAGTTCCGATGGAATCCTGCAGGGCCCTGTGAGGATCCTATCGGATCCCTATAGGGTTCCGATGGAATCCTGTAGGACCCTGCGAGGATCCTAAAAGACCCCTATAGGATTCTTATAAACTCGTGCAGGACCCTGTACGGATCCTATGGGATCCCTATAGGGTTCTTATGGGATCGTGCAGGCCCCTGTAAGGATCCTATCGGATCCCTCCTAGGGTTCCTATGGAAACCTGTTGGACCCTGTACGGATCCGATAGGACCCCTCCAGGGTTCCTGTGGAATCGCGCAGGACCCTGTAAGGATCCTATAGGATCCCTCTAGGGTTCCGATGGAGTCGTGCAGGACCCTGTAAGGATCCTATAGGATCCCTATAGGATTCCGATGGAACCGTGCAGGACTCTGTAAGGATCCTATGTGATCCCTATAGGGTGTTCCTATGGAATCGTGCAGGACCCTGTAAGGATCCGATAGGTTCCTCCTTATAGGACTCCCATGGAATCGTGCAGGACCCTGTAAGGATCCTACAGGTTCCCCCTTATAGGACTCCGATGGAGTCGTGCAGGACCCTGTAAGGATCCTATAGGATCCCTATAGGATTCCGATGGAACCGTGCAGGACCCTGTAAGGATCCTATAGGCTCCCTCTAGGGTTCCGATGGAATCGTGCAGGACCCTGCAGAGGGGTGTGCCAAAATGATCCTCGAGAGGGGTGTGCCATAATGAAGCCTCTGAGGAGCTCTCTGTGGAGCCAAGGCCACGATCCTTGAGAGGGGCGTGCCGAAAGAAAGCCTCGGTGGAGCTCCCTGTGGGGCCAGGGCCACGATCCGTGAAAGGGGCGCGCCGAAATCAAACTTCGGTGGAGCTCCCTGTGGGGCCAGGGCCACGATCCTCGAGAGGGGTGTGCCGAAATGGAGCCTCGGTGGAGCCCCCTGTGGGGCCAGGGCCACGATCCGTGAGAGGGGTGCGCCGAAACCAAGCTTCGGTGGAGCTCACTGAGCCACGATCCTCGAGAGGGGTGTGCCCAAATCAAACCTCGGTGGAGCTCCCTGTGGGGCCAGGGCCACGATCCGTAAGAGGGGTGCGCCCTTTGGGGCCTGTATGGGGCTCCGCAGCAGTCCCGAAAGGACCTGCCGAGCAACGCCGCCGGGCCCTGCAGACCCCCGCAGCGGCCTGGCGAGGCCTCGTGGCGTTGCTCGGACCAGGGGCCCTGCAGGGCCCGTGCGTGGCCCCGTTGTGTTGCTCGGGGGGGGGGGGTCGAGCAACGGGCCTCCAGTAGTGTCCTCGCGAACAACAACAACAACAACAACAACAACAACAACAACAACAACAACAACAACAACAACAACAACAACAACAACAACAGCAGCAGCAGCAGCAGCAGCAACAGCAGCGGCAGCAGCAGCAGCAGCAGCAACAACAACAACAACAACAACACCAACAACGACAACAACAACAACAACAACAACAACAACAACAACAACAACAACAACAACAACAACAACAACAACAACAATTACTAGCACGTGGGGACACTCCGTTCTCACCAGTGCCAGGGTTTTCATAGGAGGCGGGCAATACCCCCACTTTGTGGGGGGGCCGGTTCAAGCTCTACCAAATTTCCAAACGACTCTTCGCCACCACCCACACCCAGCTTCCCGCCCTATGACGTTCGGACACTTCACTTCGTGGCATGCGGACGACCGTGGCTACTATTCAGGGCCCCGCGGCCGACGACGACGGCGTGCGCGCGCGAAGAAAAAACGAATGTGTCCCGCATGGTATTATTTGACAGGGATGATGGCCCTGGCAGGTGCGCAACCGTTGTTGCAGAAGTTCGAAAAAGTTGCTCGCAAAAGCCCGTTTGACAGAAATGTTTAAAAAGTGTTGGGTTTCCTACGAATCCGCAAGAGCGCGCGGGATGAAATTTTGACAATTTTTTTTTGAAAAACCATTGGTGTTTTGATGTTTTTATGTTAAAATCGCTACGAAAACTAAGGTTTTGGAAGGATTTCGTCTTGCGCGCGCGAATGTCCACTTTACCTTATTTTTTGCAAGGGATTCTTGAAATTTGGTTATGTTAGAACAAGAAATGTCCACTTTGCCTTATTTTTTGCAAGGGAAAACCGCCCGTAACAAAACAACCGGATCTGGATCACATCGTTTTGCCTGAGACTTCCTCACGAAAATGATGAAAATGTGGCTGCGGCCTAGGCGCGGCGAGGGGGCCGTGCACCAGGGGTCCCAACAATAATTATTCTTTAGAAGTAATAATGTTCAACAACATCAGCAACAACAGCAACAACAGCAGCAGCAACAACAACAACAACAAGTGCGCACATTCGATGCAGCAGGAAACGCAACTAGAAAGGTGTTACCCAGCGGTGCCACCACGTATTGAACATTCCAGGCGCAACGCGATCTCGTGCCCAACTGAT